TGATAGATTAGTATGTCGCTAGACAAATAAAATGTCTTCTTTGGCTGGGAAGTAGGGATGGCAACGGGGCGGGTTCAGGGAGGGTTTTGTGAATCCAAGCCCTCCCTAAAACCCATAACAGGTTGAATTTTCAGAATCCAAACCCTTCCCACAAATGAAAATGTAAAGCCCACCTCAACCCTCCCCTCCCCGCATTTGTGGGTGGGGCAGGTTGGGTTGGCATAATGGGTGCAGAACCTGCATCTAATTTCGTATTATATAAGCAATAAACAAGTGAAATAACATGAACAAACATCAGAATTTCCAATTATTTTCTTAAAACATGTAGAAAGCACGTAAGCTATCAATTATCCTTCACATAAAATTCAAAATATTATTAACTTCAACAGCCAATACATAAGTTCATATACTATCAAACAATATGCGGGCGGGAAGGTTGTGCTTAACCTATTACCACACCCTATCTGTACCCATACGAGTTGTAAAATCCTAAAAGCTGTCCCCACCCCAAAATTTGGTTCTCAAGGAAAAAGAACCCACCCCATTGAGGCAATACCAGCCAAGTGGGGTAGAAATTACCACCCCTACCAGTGTTTTAAAAGGCGTGGGAGGCGTATGCCTGGAGGCGCTCCAGGCAAGGCGCTCCCAAAATGCCCAGAGGTGTATGCTAGAGGCACTGGCAACTCTGAGGCATACGCCTTATGTACACCTCATATAAAAAGACTAAAAAAAAGAAAAAGAAAAAAAAGGAAAGGAAAAGAAAAGAAAGGGAAGGGAAATAGAAGAAAAAAAATAGAGAAAAGGAAAGGAAAGGGAGGAGAAGATAAGGGGGAAGAAAGTGATCTGCCCTTGGCCCCTTTGGCTGGGGGGCTTTCAACTAGTGCTGTGCATCTTTATTCTTCTTAATATAAAAGATTTTTATCAAAAATAAAGAAAAAATGAGATCCCCTCTTCCTCTTCTTCCTCCTCCCCTTCCTCTTCCTTCTTCCTCTTGACCCCCTCCTCTTAAGGAGGCTTATGCCTCTTACATTCTGAACTACGCCTCACGCCTCTAGGTAGTGGAACGCCTCGCGTCACACCTCCACATTTTAAAACATTGATCCCTACTAGGAAGTGATATATCCTAATAAGGCCATGGTGCTTAGTTTTAGAAACATTTTCTTATGAGATTTAAGCTAGAGAGTTGGCTGATCTTGGAACAAAATGAAATTAGGGGTGCACAGTGCATGCCATGATCTTATCTCTCTTTTCTTGTGGTAGGGTATCCATTTAGAATTACCCCCATCTCTAAATCATCATATCCTTGTGGTCCATTGCTATAGGAGGGGGATGGTGGTGGTTTGGGGGAATTTATTGGTGAGTGCCCCAGCTTTTGCTGTTTGTTGCTGGGTTATTGGGGGAGCCGGGGAGGTCATTGTTCTTTTTGCCTAGCTGGGTTAAATTTGCAAATGCAGACACATGTCTGAAAAAGAATGCTTCTATTTGAGAGTGGAAATAACCACCCTTTTGATGCTCTTTCTTGAAAGAATACAATGCTACTTGTTTGGAAGAGAAGGCTTGTCATCGGGATGAAACTTGGAAATCCTTTTGAGCTTTTCAAGTTTTCCAGCTAATTCAGCTAGCTTAGGGAATAGATGATAAATATCCTGGTAAACTGGGTAGCACACTCTTAAGCGAAGGAAACTCTAGGAAATTCTCTCAAGTAAGGGTTATCATTGATCTTGTGACTACTCAAATATCTAATTGGGTATTGACTAGGGAGGAATTTAGAGGCATCTCAATTAATTCATTGCCATGGCTGGCAAGCTTCTCTATACCAAACAGAGGGTTGTGCAGGAGTGCCATCTCCCCTTCCATCGAGTGGTGAAGCTCTAAATGGATGCTTGACAGGCCTGTTACTTTCAGGAGTGGTTGAGTCGTTAGAGCATGTGATGGCATGAATATGACAGTTACTCTGGGTTCATTGGGCAAGGGGGTTTTCTTTGAGTTCCAAGAGACTAAATGTTGAGGAAGATCCACATCTAGCTATTGGATGGATGATGTCATGTAAAGGGCCCTAGCCATGGGATCTCCCATTGGAAAAGCTATAGTTTTGGCATCCAGGACTGACCAACTCATTCAGGTGTCTTCCAAGATCAACTAATGCTCTAGCTGATATCTTAACTGGAAGTAAATTAGCATGGTTGGTTGGGGGACTGGCCCACCAGGGTAGCTATCATTTTCCTGAATTATTTGTTTTTTTTCCTTCAGGCACAGTTACATGTTAGTAGCATGAAATGTCTGTACTTGTTTCTCTTTCTTTTTCAGATGCTATAGTAATTTTTGCTTTCTCCATTAATATTGAGAAAGCGAGCTTGAATTGTTTTTACCTCCTTATAGATTATTAATGAATATCATTATTGATTAAAAAAAGCTAGGGTACTTTTATGACTGTTGGTTTACATTTTGAAAAGGTATCTAATTTGTCATTTACCTTGGTTTTTTTTATTTTGCTCAACCTGCATTGTTTCTATATGTTTAGAACCATTTTCTGAAGTAAATAGTGTACTGTTGATGTGGATATTGATGTAGGGAAAGAACCAATGGAGAAAGTAACCAGTTTCCTTCCAATGCGTTATGCAATAGCAATTTTATAACTTTTGAGTTTTTGGGATTTTGGTCATTTGAGTTTTTGAAAGTTATTTTCTAAGTTTATTTATGGCTTAGGGATTGGGTTAATCATCCTGAAGGGTCAAACTAGTTTAAAGAGTCTTATTATGGAGATTTTTGAAGAAGTCGAGAAATCATCTCTCTTGTGGGCAGTGTGGGAAGAGAGAAATAATAGGATTTTCCAAGGGAAAGAAAAATCAGCTCCTGAAGTTATTGAAGGGATCACCATCAAGGCAGTACATTGGCTGAAAACTCTTGACTTGTTCAAGGATGTCTCTATAGATGATTTGACTAGAGGCTGGAGTATTTTAGCAAGGTCTTCTACTTCATCACCTACCATACAAGCAGTTTGGTCCCCTCCTTTGCAGTGTAATGTCAAACTGAACTTTGATGGCAGCTCTCTTGGGAACCCTGGGCCTTCTGGAGTAGGGGGTGTGTTTAGAGACGTGGAAGGAAAAATCCTAGCTATGTATTCTGGTCCAATAGGTTTGGGGGACTTGCTTAGAGCTGAAGTATTGGCTCTCCTCCAAGGGCTCAGATGGGCCAAGCAATTGGGTTTTCAACAGTTAGAAGCAGTGTTCTAAAACCACAAGACGCAAAAATGCGCAAGGGCCAATTTGTGCCTGAGGTGAGAGGCGCACGCCTTTTTGAAGCAAGGTGCAAAAATACGAACAATTGCTAAAAAAAATAAAAAATGTCAAAAAATTAAAAAATGCAAAAAAATATTAAACATAATACTAATAAGAAATTTAACCTTAAATTTTAAAATTAATGGTTTTAAAAACCTATTATCTAAAATTAAAATACATAAACTTAACATGTAAAGCATTTTCAAATGAAAATTTAAAAATAAAACCAAACATATAAAACATTTTCAAGCATGTAAAGCCCACAATTTCTTTTCTCCTCAATTGCAGAAGTTCAAGTAGCTAATGTGATATAAAACATATTACATTCCTGATTCTACGAGTTGCCTTTGTACCATGCCCCTCGAGGCAAGCCCAAACAAGTCCATGTTAGGGCTTAAATTCTTAATTCTCACACAAAAAAATAATGATTTTATAATTTTAATTGCCTTCTAAGAAGATATTTTACTAAGATGAATGAATGAATAACATTAGCAAATAGGGGGGGCGGAGCCCCTAGCCCAGCTGCTAGGTTCAGAAAAAGCAAGAAAATGTACAGTTTTCAAAAGGCGCACGCCTAGGCCAAGGCGCAAGGCACATCAGGCGCGCACCAGGCATGCGCCTTTTGAAAGTGCTGCACCTAGGACCTAGGCGAGGCGCCTACCCTAAAATGCACCTCGCCGGTGCGCCTAGGCACGCCTTTTAAATTGGTTTGAAGTTTGTTTGAAGTTTGTTTGAAGTTACCTGCAGGTAAGAGTATGATCTTACCTCTCTCTTTCTCTCTGATTAGATTTCTTTGAAGGTTCAATCTTTCTTCTCTTTCTATTCTCTATTTTGGATCTAAATCTCTCTTTCCTATATTTCAAATCCTTAATCCCTCCTTCACAGTAAGGGGGATTAACATCAAACATTGTTCTACTTCAGTTTATTGCATTAAAGTCAAACTGTGCATTCATATAAGCTATATTTGGAACATTGTTGGGGTTAATAAATGCTTCTCTTTATTTTTTGCTTTTGCATCATGTTGATTGTCTGCAGAATGAACTATGCCGGATGAAACTGGATGTTCCTATGCTTGATGAACTTGTTCATGAATACTGTGTCTACAGAGGAATTGTCAACAGTAGTCTGACATCAAGATCTGGTAATCTTTTCTCCAACTTGCATATTTGTTAACTATTCAATGCATTGATAGTTTCTTATCAAACCACATTTTGGTTTTTCCAGCATCCTGTATTCAAAGCCCTGGTAAACCCCTGGAAATTTATCAGCAAGACTGTGAATGTGGCTCCTCAAGAGGTTGTTCTGTTGACATAGCATATAAATCTGTTGATCACCCTGACACTGAAACGTCCATCTGTAATGCTGAAATGAGTGGTCCTCAAGTAACTAATGCTGATAATTTAAGCATACAATGTGCTGATGTAGAATCACGATTTGCATATGAAGTAATAGGCAACCGTGAAGATTGCAGCACTAGTGAGACACATCAGGCTGAAAATTATAAAGGGTCTCAAAGGAGTAGAAGTCATTCAATTGGACCAAGGAATAGGCGCAAACGATGGAGAGGGAGAACTGAGAAGCTAGACTTTGGCCATGATGATTCTGATACTGTGAGTAGCAAGCAAGAGCTCATCACTCCAACTCCTGCTGTCAACCCAGAAGGATTAGAGGAACAACAGGTATCAACCCGTAAATCTATTTTGATCATCATGCTGCTTTGTATGCTGATGAGTTTCTTGTTACACAGGTTTTGGTAAAACATTCTCCTCCAGAGAATTTCAAGAAAAAGGGGGATTGTAAATATGAGATTGTGCTGGAAATGAAGGAACTAGTTAGTAAGGGAATGGCTGCTGAGGTTGTGGAAGAAGTGAACACCATGGACCCAAACTTTTTTGCACAGAATCCTCTTCTCTTGTTCCAACTTAAGCAGGTAATTGTGGTATGTAGTATGTTTAACATGGGAGAATTTTTTTTTGGAAAAGATAAGGTAAATTTATTAGAAAAACCTAGAGATACAAACAGAAATCTGCCAAGGACAAGGCAGGAATAAGTATTAATAGTTCAAATTTATTAGAAAAAATAAGCAGCCTAGTAAGAGAGTGATTTCATTATCTATGAATTGAGTATTAATAGTTCAAATGGTAAGCTTTTCCGCTGATGGCCTTTGTACTGGTGTCAGGTTGAATTCCTTAAACTAGTCACTAGTGGTGATCATTCTAGTGCTTTAAGGGTTGCATGCTCTTATTTGGGTCCTTTGGCAGCAAGCGATCCAGCTCTGTTAAAGCCTTTGAAAGAAACTTTATTGGCTTTGTTGAAACCTAATGAAGATGCCCTTGCAAAAGGTGTACCTTTATCTGTTCTTGCAACCTCACTCCAGGTAAATGTTATTTGGTTAACACCGTTTGTTCACTCTTTTGTTTTATTGGATACTAAGCTCTCAAACCTATTTGGCTTTATTTATGATAGGCCTGTGAGGCAAGCGCTTACATGTTTAAAACATTGACCATAATGATACCTTTGGCCATGCAAGTTTTGCTTTTGCATCGTTCCTGTCTGAGCTTTTTAAGCAAGTTGCTGTATAATAAGCAGTGGACATGTCATTGATTCTCTATGTATCTTCTGCATTATATTTTTGTTGAACTGATTAGCAAGTTACCTAGAATGTACAGTAGCCTCTTGTCATTTTGTAAACCACACAATTTCCTTCTCATTGACCTTTATAAATCTTTTTCAATTTATTCACTAAAGAAAAAGAATTACCAAGATATCAACAGTAATTTCATCTGAAATGTAGCTTTCCAATGTTCTCCTTGCAAAACAGAGGCTTGGTTCTACTACACCTCAAACAACATGTATAAAATCATCATTGAAAAGCTGGCACAATGTTAAAAGTAGGCAACCAATCAAAAAGAGACAGAGATGCATTGGAACAGAAGTTAACCCATCAGAAGGGCTTGAGGGCAGCCACACCTCAAAAAATGGTTAAATCATACTTTGTCACTTTGTATTAGAATAATACTTGGCATCTTCACCTGTGCTTCCTTTTTCAATAAACTAATTCAGCCTACAACCTTGGGTTTAATTCTCCTGGTAAAAAGAGATTTGGAGCAAGCCAATTCCACAAAAATTCCGGCCCTTTGTTGGAAGGTCTTTCTTGGGAAGATTAATACCTGTGACTTGCTGCAGGAAAGAAGGCCAAACAAATGTGTCGGGACATGTTTGTTGTGTTTGCAAAGCTAGTGGAGAAAGTATATCCCATTTGTTTATTCAGTGTACTTTTGTGTTTTGTGTTTGGAGCTTTTCTGTTCTTTTTTTGGTTGTAGGTGGACTCCTCCCTAGGATGTGGTGGTCTCTTTGATCCAAACTTCCTGAGACAGTCAAAGAAGAGAGGAAGGATTCTGTGGAAAGCAATGAGAGCAGCACTGATTTGAAATATTTGGGAAGAAAGGAACAGGGAAATCTTGGGTAAAAACCTTGGAAATCTTCCATGATTTCTCCTTTAATGACATTTTGAGATCATGGAAGGAAGTGGAAAATTCGGCTCAAGAGAAAGAAAGGGTGGTTATTGGAATGGAGACCGCCAACACCTAATGCTGTGAAACTAAATTTTGATGGAAGCTTTTTTTGGGAAATGAAGGGCTGAATTGTGTGTATTTCGAGGGACAGATGGTGAGATACTAGCACTTTATTCTGGTCCTGTAGAGCAAAGAGATCCATTGACAGAAGGATTATTGGCTTTGTTTCAAGGGCTGAAATTCGGAAAACAGTTTGGTTTTCAGAGGTTAGAAGTGGAAGGGGACTCCCAGGTGGTTATTTCCTGGACAAAATTTCATAGCCAAACTCCTTGGGTTTACAGGCAAGGATCAGGAAATTGAAAGTTTAACGAGGTTATTGAGTGTTACTTTTAAATGGGTGAGAAGAACTGCAAATGGCATGGCAGATGCTTTCGCTAAACAGGGGGCAAACTGGGAGCACTTGTTTTGGGCTAAATTGTAAGGCTGGTTTTGGGGACTGCAGTTCTAGTTGTATTTGGTTATTCCTATGGGTGTTGGTAAATTACCCACAGAATTGTAAACTCAGGTTTTATATAATGCTTAATATAATTTACCTTTGCTGATAAAAAAAGCTGGATATTTTGAATTGCAAATTATTATCTATGGTTATTCCTATGTCTTTGACATCTGTATACAGTTGATTATGATATATGACTCGAGTTACACTGATATATTCTCTGTTAGATTTTGCAGAATGCAACCTAAACCAATTTCATGCTATTTTATTGATAGCTAAAAGATCTGTGAAGTTACTGACGTAATAACTTGCTAACTTCTTGGTCATTTATAGAAGAATACCTAACTTGTGATGTGAGAGCTTCTGGAAAATTTTAGCCATACTCCAATTTCCAAAATATTGTGTAAACATAGTTGTCAAGGTGATGCCTAGGCGGGTGCCTAGGTGACAAGGCGTCCTTTGAGGCTTGCCTCGCCTAATTGCGAAGCAGTTTTGTACTATGTATTGTAAAATACTTTTTTATTCTTTATTTTTTGACATTATAATTATAAAATAGGCACTATTAAACTAAAATATTCATTTTGTGTGTTTATATACTAATTTGTTTTTATTATTTTCTTATTTGTTAGGACTTAATCAATACAAACATTGCTAAATGCTGTATTGAACCCTCAAAGACTTTAAAACCCGAACCAATAAGAGCTTAAAATTTTGTCTAATCAACACGCTTTCTACCACCACCACCACTACTACTACTACTTTTTCTTTTMTTCTTTTCCTATAACAAAAATAAGGGCTCAGCCCCTATATTTTTTGAATTTTCTTTTCCTTCTTTTTTTTTCTTCTCATGAATATGTTGATTTTCTATACTTTAACATGTACTCTATACTTTTTTTATGAAAATTATGAATAATTATTAAGGAAATATGGCTATGGTACCTAGGGAACTACCCTGGGATCTATGTTTCTATATAAAAAAATTCATCGCCTAGGCGATTAGGCGACAGGGCACCCCTCGGTCGCCCAGCCTCGCCTTGGCGCCTTGAAAACTGTGTAAATATCTTAACAAATTGTGGTTTCTTCCATGTTTCAATATTGCAATATGGGTCACATCTACTTTCCACTAGTTCAAAATCATTGTGAAGTGTATTTTGATATTGTGTAGGTTGCAATGGGTAGGAGGCTTGGCATTGAAGAACCACAACTAATGAAGATAATGAGAGCAACACTTCACTCGCATAATGAATGGTTCAGGATTCAACTGTGTAAAGACCGTTTTGAAGGACTTCTTAGGATTGACACATTGAAAGAAATTAACACTCCCTTACTTATTGATGTTACATCAAAGGCAAATGCAGATACTTCCACAACTGGATCTTCCCAAATTACCATATCTTCAAGCAGCAGGATGCCAGAAGATGGCGGCAGCCCAAGTCAAGTGTCATCAAGGGATGTTATATGTGATGAGAGTGCAATACTTAAAGTAATGGTGAGTTCTGACAATGATAATCTTCTTGCACATATGGTAATCTTTTTGTGATCTCATTATGGTAACTTGTTTTTTGGTTCACATTATCTCCCAAGGACAAAGAAATAATAACTCTGTCCATGTCAAGCCTATGGAATTGTTTTCTTTCTTTTGATAATGAGAATCCAATAATCCAATAGAATCCGTGGAATACAGAAGAAAAGAATTAGGTACCTCAAAAAGAAGGGGGGATCTCAAAGCACATACATGTCTCTCAAATTATATCTCTTGCTAAATAACTGAACGATACGATAAGTTCCTTATGCAGTCCACAGTTACTTGGGACAAAAGCATGTACTGCACTTCTCTACGATCGCCCTTAATTTTCTTGAAGGCGCGGGGGGGTAGGTGTGGTAAAAAGAATGTCTGCTGTTGCTGCATTGTTGGGGACCATCACAAGCTTACCTCAGTGAAGGATGGTAATTTCTCCAAGCACATGGGCCCATGCTTGGCTTCCATGTAGCTGTTGTCTCAACATATAGCAACAGAATTTAGACGTGCTTCCATTAAAACAATAAATCCAGACTTTCATTTTAAATGTTTTAAAAACAATAATGTCTTAAAATGCTACATTTTCACGTAATATAAGTTCACTTTGATCATGTTTATAGATTTCCTATCAGAAATATACCATAATAACTGTTGTTAGAAAACTGAAACTGTCAACAGTAACTGTGGTATGAGATCTAGACCTCCTTACCGAAGGAACATAATTTCTTATTTCCCTATCTTTTTTTTTTACCTTTATCTCACCTTTTTAATTTTCCCTGCAGAAGCTATAGATCATTCCTTGATGCCATTTGTAATGCTTATATATCTTGATTTTTTTTTTCCACAAAAGCTTTTCTGCTAAATTGAAACATTTATTGTATTGTGATTATCTGCAGGAATTTCTTGCTTTGCCAAGGGCTGATGCCATTAGTCTTCTAGCACAGTACAATGGAAATGCCGAGACTGTAATACAGCAAATATTTGCATAGTCATGTACAATTGTAATCTAACTGCCTTTATATTTCATTTATTTTATTCAGTATAGTATTTTCTTCAATTTGTGTCATTGCCTCTCAGCTGTAAATATATGCATGGCCGGTGAAGTTGTGCAATAGTGCCACTGGCTTTTCTGGTAAAATGACTTGTACCATTTCTGTACCCAAGAATTTTTTTGGGTATGGTTGTGTAGATTATGCCCATAGGATACTAAACAGTCGTTGGATTGATTCACATATGTTTATCTAATGAAGGATACATGACTGGTTGCCCTTCATTGTTGTTCTTTGGAGCATCGATTTGCTTCTTTCGTCTTTCTTTTACCCCTCAAACCCAATATGAGATAGGATTAGCTGAACGCATTAGCTCTTACCAGTCATAAAATACATGGGGCCTACAATCATTCAACTTCTCTGGGCCTCGTGTATTTTATCACGGGTGTGGAGCGCTATCATTGGTTTCCACAGCCTGCTAAACAGCTAAAAGTGTTTAGCTAATCCGAATTCCCCAAGGACGTTGCCTGAAACCCTGAGATACTACAGAAAGACAGCTGCCTCTGAAACTTAGGCTCAGCTTAGAAAGACCGCAAATACAAACATGTACAGTGCAAAGCCTTGCATTTTATATTTCTGAACCTATTTTACATATTTGTATTTGCACTCTTTCCAAATTGAGCCTAGTGTGATTTTTCAGGTTAGGGTTACATGGATTCAGGAACAAGATAAAGTAGATCCATATTTGATTTGTCTTATATTCAAATTTAAATTGGATCTTATCCTTCCGACTTGTATCGGATTCTTTGACCTTACCACGGAGAACCTGCAGTCACGAGGGTTGGATCCCACACGGCCAACACCTCCATATTGGGATGCCAAGTACCATATTAACCCAGTCGGAGGGATGCCAAGTACCATCTCAGCCACTGGGTTAACAGCTTGGATTGGATGATGGTGGGTCCATATTTGATCCAATTCTGGGATTTATATAGTTAAATGTTTCTGGCTTTGTATCCCAGGTTAGCATGAGAGTCGAGGCATGCAGAGTTATGCTACATGACGGCTTTAACAGATCTCATGTAATCTTAATAAGAGAGCTTTTTGTTCCCTTATGCTATGTTTGGTTTGAAGGAAAAGGTAGGGAAAGGAAGGAAAACATAGGGAAACCTATACAAGGTTTGTAAAGGTTTCCCTACATTTCCCTTCCTTTCCCTACTTTTTCCTTCAAACCAAACACAGCCTTAGAGTCGGCAAGGAACCATCAAAGATAACTTGCAAAAGACTGCATATACATGTAAACACACATATAAAATGAAAAGTAAATAAATAAATAAATAAATGGTTTTCTTGGAATATAAATATTAGACAGGAAAATGCATTCATTCCTAATTTCTCCTGATGTCTCAAAGCAAACCTGAATGGAATGAGCCAAGCATTCAGAAAATGAATTAAGAGAATTAGGATTGTCATTTTCCTACAATCTGGACTCAATTTGGAAATGTTCATTTTCAACACATGCAACCAAACACTGTAAAACAGCATTTTTTTTTCAAGAAATCATTTGTTTTCTTCATTTTACATTCAACCAAAAGAAAGCATGATGTTAAGCTGGCATAGTTCATGCCTGGTCGCAATATAATAATATGTAATGATTAACAAAGGAGGGTCCGGCAGGGGAATTATCTTCCTCTGGATTTACTATCATATACTTGCCAGCTCCTAAACCACCAGTATGGATTCATAATTATCAAATGTATTTATCAAAAAAAAGATAGTTCGAATCAAACATGTTAATTAGATTTAAAAGAAACGTCCAACAGAATAGAAAAGAAAGCTGACAAATAAGGGCATTACTAATTATTTCTTTTCAACGATAAAATGAGCTCTTTATTTGCCTGTAAAGCCACTCAACCTAGAACAGTTTCCTTGGAGAGAATACACCCATCTAACCATCTCCAATTTACGGGAGGACATGCATCCAAAGACAAGAATGCTTACAATTGAAAGATAAGCTCCTTCCAAAATTATGGGGCTCTATGCTCAACATAGGACCCAAAAAGTCCAGAGGTCCCGAGAACTGTAACCTGCAAGTCCAAAAAATGCAAATGAATTAAATCAAGGAAAATAATATTGTTCTGATTTCTATAGTAGTACAGGTTAGTACCATGACTGATCTTTACAAACCATTTCCAAAATGCTGGTAATAGAGTACTTGGGTTACATACAGCTGCAGACAGGATTACTTGGTCGTTGAAATGCCTACCTCATAGAATCACAATTAACATGGCAATTTCTTTTTATCAATAATCAGAATGCTTTAATTAGTGATAGAGATAAAGTAGACCCTTGCTATGGAATTGACCTTAGAGTCTTAAAAGTATATTGTTCTAACCAATTTGATGCTTACATAGACTATATTTGCTATTTATGAAGGCATATATGTTGTTTGGGCTTTCTAATTGGGTTAAACCCAAAAGAATGGACCAAACCGTATTAGAAACCATAACGAACCTATTGATCAAACCCATAACTGGGGTACCACTCTCACCTCTCTCCTCACACTAAAACCCATAACAAGGCCTCTTTCAACAGACTGAAGCATGGATCTAACAAGGATATACACTACAAAAATAAAGAGTTAAAGGTAAAAGAGGGTCTCCTCTCTAAGACCTCTTAAGGCTTTAAATAATCCTTTTTGGGAAGCCATTGATGAGAATGGAATAGTGGACTGAAGCCATACATCCCTTCATATGACCTCTCAATATGTAATTTACAAACCAGATCCTTTTTCCTTGACAACAGCTTTACTAACAATTAAGTTGTTAGTCCAAGATTCTCTGTTCATAAACAAAATCCTCTTGGAGAGGAAAGGCCACAAACTCCAAGACCTCTCTTAACCTCAAAGAGAAGACGTTATCAATGATCTTATACAAACCAGCAACTAAACTAATCAATCTAAAGTTTCTTATGGAGTTGACTATTGCCTTTTAGGAACAAGGGAAATGAAGTTACATACATCCTTCTACTAATTAATTTTTCCCTTCCTATGGGATTCTGCAAACACCTTCAAAAGATCATCTTTTAATTCTCCTAGCAGAATTGGTGGAAAATCATGAAGAAGCCATCCAAACCAAGGGCCATGTCTTTTCTCATCTTCAAAATAGTCACCGTAATCTCTTCTTCTTTTTGAAAAGCTCTTTTCCCATCCCAACCTTGATTCTTGTGAAATAAGGCCCTAACTCCCAAATAAGCTAGGACCCCAAAGGCAAAGTAACTCTTGAAAGTGTGTCAAGATGGCTAACTCAACTTCATTCAGCTCAGTTAATTCTTGCCCTTCCATGTTTAGTTTAAGAATTAGATTCTTGTGATTTCTCTTATTTTCCAAGTTTCAACACAGTAGAAATTCCCCAGAAATAAGGAGAGAAAATAAAATTTGAAAATTGTATGGCCAGGTTCATCTGAATAAATTCTGCCTAATATCCTATCCAAGCTAGTGGATATACTACTTGGGCTTGCAAAATATTCGCTCAAGAATTTAAGACTTAATTTAGTCAACAAGTAAAAATCCAAAGGCTAGGAAATAAGAGCATCGTGCAAAAAGGTTTTGGGTTAAGTGGTAAATGTCATAATGATAGAAGACTGCAAAATAAGGTAAGTACGAACTCAGGTTTCAGGATAAGTATTGAGGATACTGATTATTAAAGTCATAAATGTCTTGCATCTTATGTCTTCAGCACAAGGAACATCCATAGCTCAGAAAAATAAAACAAAAGAATATGAAAGCAAGTTATTGGATTCTAAAACTAAGATAATGTTACAAGTTAAAGCCACAAGGTATCTCATGTGTTAATTGTACCATATGTCCTCTAAAACCACAAAGTATCATTGTAACCTCTAACATCTAAGCTGCATTGACAAACCATGTAAAGCCAATTACACTATGCATAAACGTAGATCCCTCCGAACAAAAAAAAAAAAATCTTTACATTCTTCTCCAACCAAATGTTTAAAGACTTCAAAAACCATAGCTAGAAATGCTGACAGATAAAATACAGTAAATACACAGGTAACTAGCAGTGGGATTATATAAACAATACCTCTTAAAACTTAGTTTCAAAAGTATGGGCCTTAACAAGTACAATGCTATCAGTGAGCTAGAACAATGAAAAACATCAGAGTTTTACCCTTCCCCATTCAGAACCAAGGCCACTGCACCTCATCTTCAGATGTATCATCTTAGTCCCCAACTCTGTCTCAACTTTCTTCTTCAAATAAACCTCATCAGGGCCAAAAGCATCCAAATATGTCATGTACCGCTTGTATACTGAACGGAGAGCATTTACAAACTTGTTGGACAAGGGCTTCACATTCTGTCAGAAAAGAATTTCAAATGATCAAAAAAAAATCAGAGAAAAAGAAGTTACAACATAGTCCCATATATGATGTAGAATTACACACCTCACCACTCAAGCCAATGCTGTCATCAATTTCCATCCTCAAAGTCACTAGGACCCCGCCAAACTGCTCAACAGCTTCAGCTGCACGGAAGACATTTTCCAAGACCTCCTGACCAGTCTTGTCACCAGTATTTTTGGACAGAGCTTTCTTAGCATCATGAATGACAGCATCTGGAAGCTCATCCCAACTTGCTGCCATTAAGTCCTTGAAAACATTTTGAATATCAGGATCTGCTATGACAGGCAAGTGAGTTACATCTTCACTGAATGAGCGTACACCTCCAATGCCCATTGCAAAGCAAGACCTGCAATCTATAGTTGTTTTCAAATAAGTTTAAGGGAGGAAAAATTTAAGTTTTAAAAAAATTATACCCTCAAAGAAAAAGACAACATAAGGTGCCAGCTTTGTAAACAATAAAATTGTGCTACAATATCACAAGTTCAGTGTTTCACATATGTTCGCATGCTGAAGGGTGGGATGCAGGCACAACCCATGTAAACTATATGTATTGATATTTTATTGATATTATTGACTAGAACGATGCAAGACAAATACAACATTCATGTAAACTATATGTATTGATATTTTATTGATATTATTGACTAGAACGATGCAAGACAAATACAACATTCATGGCAAAAACAGCGTGGATTTCAAAATATGGAGGTGGAAGGGAATTCAAAATTGGTAATATCATGGATGAATGAAAGCAGCCCAGGCATGTGGATTTGCAGGCACAATATAAGAGAGATCAAGAACATAGCAAAGGAGTTGGAAGTAACATTTAGATGGATATAGAGAACAGTAAATGGAATAGATAACACAACGGCTAAACAAGGGGTGAATTGAGAACAATTATTTTGGGAAGATTTGTAAATGGGGTTCTCTTAAAGTTGTAAGGGGAGCTGAAATCACCTATAACAGCAAAGTTGTGTTATATGCTCCAAATGTTCTGAAAATCATAATCATATTGTAAATCATTGAGAAATTTGAATCGTGAATTGTATCGTAAACCATAAGATTATTTCTATTTTTTACAAACTTGTCAAAAAATTAAATATAGATATGCTAAAGGCTAAATATACATAGATTCATACAACAGTGATTCTACCCTATTTTTAATCCATATCTATCATATATGTGCCTAAAACAATAGAATTTACCACTTGTATAGTAAAAGTCTAAGATGATATAATCAAGTTTAACTTGAAAGTCAAATAATCCACATGCAATGGCTCAATTTCAAGTAAGGTATTTAAAATAAGTCACCCTTGACAAAACTAAATATAAACAAAACAAAATGACAAAATCTAATTCTTAATTGAATTGATTTGAATCGTAGGAATAGTAAGATTTATGAATCAAATTGTAGGATTCAAACAAAATTCGTAAGATTTTACAAAAAATGGATTCGGACATAAGATTTGAATCAAAACCCTTGGGACTCACTAACCGCCTTCAATGGATTAACGAAAGGAACTTGTAAATGATAAATAAAAAAGGTTTTTACAATCTCAACCACCATGTGCAAATGTTAACACTAGGCCAAATTTGAGATTTATATAGCTACTGCCTCTACAAGTGCCCATATGTAATTGTGGTGCAATATCATCAACCACCAGCTGTAGGTTTGTGGTAGCATGCTACATCTCCTAGTCCAAGGTAAACACATGAAGATGATCAATACACCAACTCTTTCTCTCACTTTGTTATGGCACTGTACAAGTATGTAATGGATGTGAATGTTGAGATTAAATATTTCCATGGGTGCAACAGAGAACCTCACCCAATTATTGAGGTTGGTCTCCTTGTCATTTCTCGAATGTGATCAAGTCACAACTTCAGCTTCCCTTTTTGTAGGGAATGAGATAAGATCCTAGCCCCTGGGTGTTTGAAAAGACCATTAATTAATAATTATAAGCAATGTTTAAAACACAGAGGCCTGACACGAGGCTTCCACTACCTAGAGGTGTGAGGCGTAGTTCAGAACATAAGGGGCGTAAGTGGTCCCGAACACAAGGAGGCGTAAGCCTCCTTAAGAGGAGGGGAGGGGTGAGGAGGAAGAAGAGGAAGAAAAATCTCATTTTTCTTTATTTTTAATAAAAGTCTTGTATATTAAGAAAAATGAAGATGCATAGCACTAGTTGAAAGGGGGTCTTTTCCCTTCCCTTCCCTTTCCTTTCCTGTTCTTTTCTCTCTTTTTCTCTTTTTCTCTTTTCCTTTTCTTCTCTTTCTTTCTTTTTCCTCCCCTTCCCTTTCCTTTCCTTTCCTTTTCCTTTTCTTTTTCTTTTTTTCTTTCTTTTTCTTTCTTTTTTTTTATTTTTTTTCCTGTCTTTTTATATGAGGTGTGCATGAGGCGTATGCCTCTAGCACGCCTCATGAAAAAAGCGTATGAGGCATACACCTCTAGCACCTGAGGTGTACACCTTAGAGGTGTCAGTGCCTCTAGCATACGCCACAGGGCATTTTGGGGGTGCCTCGCCTGGAGGCGCACCAGGTGTACGCCTCCCATGCCTTTTAAAACACTGATTATAAGGACCCAATCCATATGCAATAATAATTACATAAGGCTCTTAAAAAAGAATTTTAACATCTTCCCTTAATGGAGTTCATAAATCAACCCATCCAAACCAATTAGAGAAAGTTGATGGAACAACTACAACAGTGCTCATGTAAAACTACTCATTTTATTAAATTAGGATGTTACTATTACTACAAGAGCTATTTTACTGCACTGGGCCCAAAATTTTCATCTTTCCGTGTATCAACCATAAAACAGTGGGCTCAATCACAGTCACAAAAATGGTTCAGAAATTAATGCAGAGCACATATCAGAAGAAGCAATGGTCATTCACTCATTCCAATATCACCTTCCTAATAAAAAAAAAAATTATGGATCACAAGAAAAAGAAAAAATGCAAGTAAAAAGGTTAATACATAATTCATTCAGGTAGTTAACTCAGGAGCAACACAAAAGATTATAGAAGTGTGAATGAACTGGTTGGGTTCATCCCCTGGAGTCTGGGTTTCCCCAATGCTCGAAAATCTAATGATTGATGGAGCCAGATGAAATTACAACATAATGATCAGCTCTATTAAGCTCAACCCTCACATTCCCCCTCCCCACCCCCCACCCCCAAGAAAAAAAGAAATAGCACAGTAAAACTGGAAAACCATTTGGCAACTTAACTATAAAAATTATTATTCTTTTAATAACATGAAGTCATGGAGAGCTGCAAACCCAACAAATTAACCAGATAAGCAATGAAGAAAACCATACGGAGGCCTATTGTATAAGAAACCAAGAGATTAAGTCCTAGACCACATTATACGACTTGCCCAGACTCAGACTCGAGAGTCGAGATCAGCCAATCCAAGGAAAGCATAGAGAGAGAGAGAGAGAGAGCATTTCTAACATTGTTTTCTATTGTATGAGTTATGAAACGAATGAAACAAGTCGGATAGTTGCGAATGCCTGCTATCCGCGTAGGTGGAGAACATAACCAAGTTCCAAAGTACCGAGAGTCTTAAGACATGAGGAACTGCTCTTAATCCAAACAAATGTCGATATTTACTTTAGCAATAAAACCATTTCCTCGTAAAAGATCACCACAACAGTCTTAATATCAACAGTTCTTTAAACTTTCAGATTGACGTAGACAAAAATTTTCTACATATGTATCCTTGTCGAGAAGATTTGCCTTAGTCGAGAAAACCCAGTTTGCAAATGCAATAATCGTTCGTAAAATTATTCATTTGATAAAAAAAAATGCCAATTGATGCAATGAAATAAAAGAAACGGAAGATTAAAGCAAAGGAAGCAAGAAATACCAGAAGAGACGCGATTTGAATAGGCTGAGGCGGCTTGAGGAGCGAGAGGGAATAAACCTCGGCTGCCGTAGTTGCGGAAGCCATAGAAGAGCTTTTTCTCGTTAACGACAGAGCCACGACAGGATCTGAAGAAAGTGGAACGGCATAAAGATCTTAGAAGAGCCAATTTCTCCATTTCCCTCTGGTGTGATTGAACAACGGGAGGTGATTGATCGATGATGTGAACAAGGAGAAAGTCTATGTTCAAAGGTCGTCGGAGCGTCCAATGTCGATGGCTGAGTCCTTGGATCAAAACCGTTAGATTGGAACTTCTGATTTGAAGACAGATTCAATTCCAAACAAAAATATTGTACACGGGACTATATTCAGTAGTGTGAATCATATGGCTCCCCACGGCACATCCCAACCGTGCATCGGAAAAATTTATTCATCATTGAGACATGTTTACAATACACAGTTGAATTATTTGTACGAGAAAATCTGCACTGAGGTGTAAATCAGGTCCATGGCACGAGCTCAGGCGGGCCCAGGTTGTGTTGTGTCACAGGCCAAACCTAGAACCAGGCCAGGTGCTGGACCAAATCATTGTAGCCCGAATGCTACAGTGACAAGTCATGTTAGGCCACAAACGGTATGATCCGATCTACAGTTCTATCTTATACCAACCTCACAACACATTCCACACGTACATTGGGAACATTTAGGATCCGATTTACAGCTCTATCTCATACCAATTTCACAACACATTTCAATCAGTACATTGAGGCCATTAGGTATTTATACGTTAGTGGAGAGATGTATTTGACAATTCATGGTGGGATGTGCTGTGAGATCGATATAAGAAGTGGGGCAAATTGTTATAGTGTATAGTATCAATGAGGCTGAAGCATAAGGCACTCCTCACACCCACCCAAGGAACATCAGAGTGTGTCACAGCCACACATCAACAACATCTTCCATGAATGAAAAGATAGTACAAGAGATATTCCGAATGTGTGGCTACAATATGCCATGAGGTCCATGTGAGGAGAATTGTGTGAAGAGGAAATCCGAACTCGATCTGAGAGGGCTTCAACTAGGGGTGTCAACGGTATTCGAAAATCTAATTATGAATTTGAGATTCGATTAGAATACCATAATCAGTTGAATTCAGATATGACTTGATTTGATTCGACAAGTTTCCAAATTTGACCAATTATTTAATTTTATATATAATATATAATATTTAATATAATTTATATATTTATATACTTTATGTAATTAAAATATTTATTAATTATTTAAAATGATTAACTGGTCGAATTTGATGTGAATCGAATCGAATATTTGAATATTTAATCGAATTTGAATTCAAACATTGATTTTCAATATCCGTCGAATATTGAATTGAATTTTCTAATCAGATTCACATTTGTATGTTGCCTAATTCCAATTCTATTTGTTTACATCCCTAGCTTTGAAAGAGCCACTTTGAAAGAGCTAATAAAATAGCTTCTTGGGAAAGTTGACTAATTAGCTTAAGCATATTTTGGTTCTCACACTCTTCAGGTTTTCCATCAAACATAGCTTCTAGGCTATTTATCAAACAAAAAAACTTCTAGGTTGTCCATGTGGGCCCCCACCTTGCAATTGCATAAAGCCATTGCGTGAATCTCTCCTAAAGAAGCACTAATTATTTGAAGGGTTTTACACTTCAACCTCTTTAAAGCCTTGTTCCTTTTCTAGGAAGTGGGGTGGATAAGTTGGCAGTTTCCACAAAAAGAAATAAACTTGCGTTCATTTTTCGGTATTAGTGGGTCTCATGGAAAAAAATGATTCCCAAACAGTTTGTTTACTTGGGGAAATAATACTCTCCTCAGACTTGGATAAATTATTTATCCATGCACATCAAAAATCACTATGTACGTGATGGAACAATATTGCCCCTTCAATAATAGATCACTTTCTTGGATAAATCGGTTATTATACACCTTTATTTGGGGAATAAAAGAATATTGGTAAATACAATTATTGCCCAAACAACTGCGTTTACCCAAATAAGTCATTGTTGAGACATGAATGAAGCCTAAATAGTTTATCCAAAGAACTTCAAAGTAATTGAACCAATTCAGCTGAATCTTAGCTCAGCTCTCCAAATAAACCCTCAAACTCCCAATGAAACAGCGTAATATGAAACACATATTTCACTGTAGAGAACCCGGTAGCTGACATTGTCTTCTTGGCATCTCTTGTAATAATGGAGGTGTGGCATCAAATTTGTAATAATTGAAGGTTCTTTGGCAGTGGACCTTATGTGCATCTTGTCCACCCATTAATCATCTCTAGTGTATATTTTGTTAATAAAAGAAAAGAAACTATATATAAGGGTTCATGTTCTTTGCACATAATAATTTTTTATGCAGGTGAAAGCAAATAATATTTACCCAAATGTTTTCTAGAAATTTTTGTATTTTTATACTTTTATACTTTTATGTGTTTTCATCTTTTTTAATTTTTATTATTATTTAATTATGACATCAGGGTTTACACATTGGACCCAAAATGTTGAATTGTTGACTTGCCACCTAACATGAAACAACTCCATTTTTTGATTGGTTTTAAATTTATGTTATATTTCTATTGTCTCTAAATACTATTATTCTTTGTGACACTTTTTAATATAATATTAATATTAATGTGATCAATCAATATAAGATTCAATTAAAGAATGGGTTAATACCATAAATAGAAGACTTAAAGGGAATTGAATGAGGAGAAATGTAGTTTAAATTACATTTTGTGCCCTTATAACTAGAGAGGGTCCAAATACAAAAGTGTGGGTATTCTAGTCAAGAATAAGATTTAATGAATGTTATTGGGAATTAATACCTTAAATATAAGACTTAAACGAGAGGGATTTGAATGAAGAGTAAATGGTTGTTGAAATTACATTTCTATCCTCACAATGAGAGAGGGACCAAATTCAAAAATCAGGGTATGTTAGTCAAACAAAAGTTTCACACTTTTAATAGTAGTAAAGATCTAGATATAGATTTGTATTTGCTTTCTCAATCATTTCTCATTAGGTTTAAGTTGTATATTCCATGCCTATAGAACTCTTTTTCTCTTTATGGGGATTTTAACAATTAATAGATGGTTCTCCCACTTGTTGCACAACCAGTCAACCACCACTCTCATTTCTAATTAACATGATAATGTTAAAAGTAGAGTTAGCCTAGAAAAAGGGGCCACCAATGTCTTTTATTGATTTTTGGCAAAAGCTTCAATTCATCTAGGACTCCACAATTAAAGGTACAGATTGTACAAAAAACTTCAAATGAGCAAAATCAACAAGGATATCACCCAAGCGATTCTGGTTGTAAGTCTTTATGAGGGTATAACAAAATATTACAACTTCAATTCTCATTGCAGTCCACATTTGAAGTAACCAATAAAATTGGTTCTTTATTATTTTTACTAGCAGTGACATGTGTGATGCACGGGATGTTGTATTTATACTTTTTTACGTATAGAATAGTAGAAAAAAAAAACTCTTTTTCCTTTTTATCTATTGAGATTCAAACTTTCATTTTTATATAGTTTATATATTATGAGAATCACATAAACCAAGTGATAGTGGCTCAATTGATACTTTATCTAGTTAATTGTAGCAGAGACTTGGGTTGGGGCAATGGGTTACCTCCCATTGTATAGTCCTATAAAGCCAAAAAATGTGCTTACCATGATATTAATAACCAAGTTAAAAAAGCAATTTCAAAATTGAACTAATGAAGATAACCAAAAACTCACATTTACTTCTTCTTACTACATTTTATTATTGAACCAGAACAATCCATTAAACAAATCCACATTAAATTAAATTAGTAAAAACAAAGGAAAAAACTTGAACCCAAGGAAAGGAGCAAAGTAGAGGAGAAAACTTAGTAACTCAAACAAAGGAGCATTGATTTGTTTAGATTGGTTCACCCTATGAACTGGTGGGAAAATTTAGGTCCAAGCTAAAGGAGTTTATTAACTGGTACGAATGTTAATAGTTGTAGTTCCTAAGAGGTGTTTAAGAAAAGAATGAAGCAATGGGATTTGATCATATAATCGTCATTAGAGGTCCTAGCAAAATCAAAGGTATTAGAGATTTGGTTCCTATGTCTTTTAAATACCTTCTTTAAAGTTGCCGCTTTTCTTCTTATTTTTCTTTGGATAACATTTCCTTGGCGAATGAACAGTATTTTCAACATTCCATCTACTTTGTTTTTGTTTTAAGTTCATATTGTTCTAGATCTATGGTCAGATCTGGTTGTCTTTGACAATTTGACCTTTTCTTCTTCTATATTTCCATATCTGCATCACCTTCATTCATTCAGTTTGGAGAAGGGAGGAAGGAAGAACAAGGGTAAAAATGGAATTATAACAAAATTAATGAAATATCTAATAGCTCTAATGCTTTTTTTAACTAGTAAGTATGCATGTGCTTTGCATGTGGCAATTCTAGATGATGATAATTATAATAATAATATATCCAATATTTTTATAAACTTTATGTATTTTTTATTTTTTTGTTTTATTATTAATAATATGCAAATTGCAAATTCCAAATCTGATTGCATAAACACCTCATCCAAATATGTGATAAATAGATCAAATTGTGAAGTTTCCAATATCTTTGATACACTTACCTGCTTGGCTAAACTCCTCTTTTTGTAGTGCTTTATCTTTTTGATGTATCTTTTTTCTTTTGTTCATTTATAAAAAAAAAATAAGATTTAAATAGATGGAATTGAATGAGGTGAAAAGTAGAAGTTCAATTTACAATTTAAACCTTACAATTAAATAGGGAGTAAATTAAAAAATGAGTATTTTAGTCATTGTATTAAAAACTATATCAGAAAGGATGGTCGAACCATTTGGCCTAGGAACCAGTTAGGTCACTAGTTCCGTTTTGGCCCTAGGTTACTATTTTATAAAAAAACGTTGAAATGGTTAGAGAACCGTTGATCCGGTTGATTTAACCATTTAAATATTCGACCCAATTAATGGTTCTCGGGTTGCTTTCAAACTAATTCCAAATTTGTTATTTATTTTAAAATATAAATTAAAAAATTTAAAAACAAGAAACTTTCAAATCTCATAATCTTGTTCGATTATTCCAAATGGTCAAAATTATTTAGGGTTTATAGTTTTTCCATTTTGATTTTGAGTTTTTTTCATTTCTTTGATTATTTTTTTAAGTTATAACAACAAAAAATTGCAACTTCAATGAAGAAATAAAAAAATCGATGCAAGAGATGAGAGATTAAAGACCAATTTATATTAAAATCTGAGATACACCAATGGTGTAAATGATTTGGGATTTGAGAGAGATTTAGAGAGATGATGGAGATATAAGAAGAGGGCAAACAGTGTTGTAGCAACGGTGATGATAAACAAAGAGATAGCCATCGGTGGTGGTTCCTCCTCCTTCTTCTCAGGGCAAATGGTTCTACAACAACGATCGGTGAACATGGTGACAACCACCTCCGACGACGCTTCTGAACATGGTGACAACCACCTTCGATAATGCTTCATTATTCTTATCTTTCTTTTTTCTCAATTTTTAGATTTAACCTACAGCCGCCTCTTTCTCAAAGTCTCACACTCCCCTCTCATAATAATGTATATATATGGTGGATTTTGACCCATTCAAATTGAATGGTTGAACCGCTGGCCCAGAAACTGAAAGCCAAAGTGGTTTCATTTCTAGGTTGGTTTTTAAAACCTTGATTTTTGTCAAAAGAATTCCACAATTTTATTCAAATTTTTAATAGTAGTGTAAATATAAAATTATAGATGTGTTCAATTTTTTCTATAATTTTTTTTGTATTTTTGTGTGTAAAAATAATTCTGATATGTCACACTTACTTTTTGTTTAATATGATAAATACATGATATTATACATGTTCTTAAATTTTTTTTTTGCAAAATTTATGTATTTTTTAATTTTTATTTCACTTTCAATAAAAATAATTCTTGTTTATAACACTTATTTTTTTTAATTTAATTACCATAAATGTGTCTACTTCTTTTGTAATTTTCTATATTTATTTCTATTTTAAAAATTTTATTACCTAGCTATAACTTCATAGGTTGATCAAATTGATTCAGATTGTTAAATTGCTTAGCCACCACTTAGATAAAGAATTATTTTGTTTTTGAGTTAGTTTTAAAATTATGGGTTTATGTTGTTAAAATATTGACATAGATCTAATTAGTGAAAGGTAACTTAAAAATATAGGATTTAATAAGAGATAATGGGATTTAATACCTTAAGTATAAAACTTAATGAGAGGAGATTAAATGAGCTGAAAAGTAATAATTGAAGTTACATTTTCAAACCTTACAATCAGAGATGGATTAAATATACAAATATGGCCATTATAATACCCATTAAAGCTATAATAAAATAACTTTTATACCCTTTCTCAAACAATGAAATAAAGGGTAATTTTAGTCCAAAAAAAGTTTAACACTGCATTCGACGGCTTATTTGTGTTGTGGGGTCATATTACAAGGTATATATAAGTGGTTTTGAAAGTTTAGGGTACATTTAAGTAGTTCCCTATATATACAAGGTACATGTAAGTAATTAACCCTAATAATGATTGTATATGGATTTATTAGTGGAGTTTAATAATGATAAATAAAAGTAAAATGTTGGATTCAATGAAAGAATGTGATTTATCTAATTACTCAAATGTAAAACTTAATGAGAGGTACTTAAATTTATTTAATAGTATTATTTTAGTTACAATTTTTACCCTCTCAATGGAGATGAACCAAATTCAATAGGAGGGGTAGTTTAGTGAAGAAAAATTCCAAAAGCCCAATACCTCATTTGCACTTTTATAAGTAGTATAGATAGTTGGCATCTCTTGTGTGTGTGCGTGTGTGTGTCTATATATATATATATATATATATATATATATATATATAGAGAGAGAGAGAGAGAGAGAGAGAGAGAGAGAGAGAGAGAGCAAGGATGCATAAATTGGTGTCAAAATGGGGACCCGAAGGATTGTAGACAAAATTATGCACATCAAACAGATTTGGTTAGTCACATTGAAGGCTTTTTTAAAAACTTTAACTAGTAGTCTCATACTTGATATTTCTATATTTTAAAATTGAAAACTAAAAATTTTGAGGAATCATATAACTCATATGATTTGAAGAATTTTGCCATATAGCTCATATAAAGGACCCAAAATCGTTTTGTCGACTGGTTTTCGAGTTGATGGTTCATCCGTCCGGTTCAAATGGATAGCCCGTTCTAACAAAAAATCATTGAGCGGGTCAAACTGGTCAACGGTTCGACTGCTTAGGTGAACGAGTTGCTAACCAATTCAACGGTTTTTGGCTAAGGACCAGGTTTAGAGTAAAACGGAATCGATTTCCTAAACGGTTCCTGAGCCAAAGGGTCCAACCATTCGGGTCAGCAATTGTTCGAAAACACTGATTATGCATGAGCTCCTGACCTTATTAAGAGAAAGACAACCTAAGGCTTCATGCATTGCATATAGGTTAGTTTTCTTTGTTTTTTTGGATATATTGGTTATTTTCCTCCTTGTTTTAGGGTTGGGCTGAGAACTTGAGATAGCGAGATTGTGTGCTTTGTATCTTGATCCTAGGGCAAAACAGGTTATTCCTTCTTTGTATCATGTTTCTTCTTTTTTGAGAATGGATAATAAAATTTAAAGGTGATCACTCCACCAATAAACCCTGGTTTTTAAATTGTTCTTGATCCAGATGGTCAAACCGTTCAGCCCGATAACTATTCAGACAACCATTTATGTTTTATCCTTAGTTCCTTTGGCTCAATTTGAAAGGAGTACAAATACACATAAAATAATACAAAATGAAAGGTTTTGCATTTTACATATATATATATATATATATATTTGTATTTGTACTCCTTCCAAACTAAGCCTTTGCCAAAAATCATTGATTTGATTAGCAACTCAATGACATGAGTGATCAAATAACCGATCCATTATCCAAACAATGGTTTTTGATTATTTTTTATTTTAATTATTTTTCTTGTTTTAAATTGCATTGAATTGTCCGCTCAGACTGTATAAAAGAACCACTGACCTCCAAATCGGTGGCGAAAGTGGTTTTGGTTCCAACGTTGGTTTAAAAAACATTGGCAAAATAACTTACAACAAAGGAGTTGTGAGTAGAGGTGTAAATTAGGTCGTGCCGCCCGTGGCCTAGCACGATTTCGAGTTGACCTAGCTTGATGGCCCACGGGTCGTATTGGGGCACGACACGGTTGTATGGATGTGTCGGGCTTGGGGTTTCAAGTCAGTGGGCCGGGCCAACACAACCTACACTGTTGTGGTGTACCACTTGTGGCCCATGGCTCGGCCCAACCCGGCCTGCAACATGGCCCAACATGACCCATATATATATTTAGATATAATATATAATATATTATATAAATTATGATTATATAATAAAATATAGGATATAATATATTAATAAAATAAATAATTGTTTTTGATTTTATTTAATTATTGTATATATGAGCATATGTGTACATCAAAATTTATATAAAATTAAAATTTTAAGTTTTTTTTCATTTTTTTTAAATAAATAGCTTTGGCCCGATCTACAATCTGGCCTAACCCAAGACTCAGCCTACAAACCAGCCTGACCTAGGCCCGAGCCTATGCGGGCTTAGGCCATGGGCAGTGCCAGCCGATCCCCTAGAATATCTTAAGAGGAGGCATAACCTACGAGTCTGCACTTTGTACGGATGCACGTGGGCCATGCCGTACCGGCCCAGAACGGCCCGTTTTACACCTCTGAGTTGTGGCTATCAAATTCAAATGGAATAAGGAAGAGTTTATCTTTGATTGAATTGACCAATCTTCACTGTCACCAATCTTGGAAGTTGGAACAAGATTACATCTTAGACAATAGATAGGAACGAATGAATATATATAGTCGAAACAAGGTACCGTTCATCCCCCCTCCCCATTTCAGGGCATTAGCTAGCCATGTACATATATGAATATGATAGCGGCTTTTGTGGTCGTGAGTTGAATGGGTTGAGCCTCAACTTGGATTAGGTTTTGGAAAAGTTAAAAGCACGTGGCGATTGTCTAATGAGCTCATCTGTCTTTCGATCCACATTAACCATAAAACCTAACCAGTCCCTCACTGTTTGTGTGTCTCAAAACTGTCTAGTCTGCATTAATGGATATGAGCAAGGCTGAAGTAGACCACGAATTCCTTCCCTTTCTTCGTGTTTACAAAGATGGGCACGTCGAAAGGCTTCTAGGCACCGATTCAGTCCCTGCTTCCCTGGATTCCGAGACCGGTGTTTCTTCTAAAGATGTTCTGATCGTACCAGATTCTGGCGTCTCCGCGCGCCTATACCTACCGAAGCTCGCCGATGCTAATCAAAAGCTCCCCATCCTCGTATACTTCCATGGAGGTGGTTTTATCATTGGGCATCCTTCTACTCCCATGTACCATCACCATCTCAATTTACTAGTTGCGGAGGCCAACATCGTTGCTGTGTCGGTGGCCTATAGACTAGCGCCAGAGAACCCCATCCCTGCTGCCTACGACGACTCATGGGCTGCGCTTCAGTGGGTTGCTTCTCACTCTAAGGGGGAGGGTCCTGAGTCTTGGTTGACTGAGCATGCCGACTTTGGCCGTGTCTTCTTGGCTGGGGAGAGCTCGGGGGCCAATATTGCCCATCACATGGCAATGAGGGCCGGAGACCCCAATTCTGGCGGCCTTGGTATGGAAATTCTTGGGATTGCACTGGTCCATCCTCACTTCTGGGGGGCGACACCGATAGGGTCTGAGGCAATGGCCCCTGTCAAGGCGTTGTTTGACCGTTTATGGCCTTATGTGTGCCCATCACAGCCCGATAACGATGACCCACAGATCAATCCGTTGGCAGCCAATGCTCCAAGTTTGTTGGGTCTTGGGTGCACAAGAGTTATTGTGTTTGTTGCAGGGAAGGACGCTTTGAGAGATAGAGGGTGGCTTTACTATGAATCGTTGGCCAGGAGCGGGTGGATAGGAGTTGTGGAGTTTGCAGAGACAGAAGGAGAAGAGCATGGGTTCCATCTCTACAACCCAAATACTGAGACAGCTAGGGAATTGCTTAAACGCTTGGCTTTCTTCTTGAACAGGGAGAGGCCTCCTCTAGTCTAGACTCCAGTGTGATTTGTAAACGCCTGGCTTTCTTCTTAAAATATATCATGTTGTTTGCACTTTGATAATCTATGTTTGTATTGAACTATCTTTGGCTTAAGCTTCAGACTCCAAATATTTAATCTTCAAATCCGACTCTCAATCTGCTACACCTGTGCATTTCCATCAATGTTCTGAAAATGGGACCGGACCGGCCGGTTAAACCCTGACTGGCCCCTGGCCGGTCCAGACATACCCCTAAAACCGGTATGTTCAAAAACTATGAAAAACCGTTTGCCTAGCAGGTTCAACTGGAGAACCGGAGAACCAGTCCCAGTTTTGCTTAACCAGCCGGTTTTTTAACATTCTCAGTTTTTAGTACAAAAATAAAAAAAAAAACTTAAAATTGGGCCAAACAGCCCCTAAGGTACAATCGAAAAATCCCAATCCCAATAAAAAATATACCCTCTTCGATCGATCTCTGATTCTCTTCTTCCTCTTCAAACCTAACCTCAGTCCAGCCACTCCAGCCACCACCACCAGCACCTCGCCGCCGATACCAAATAGTCTCTCTCCTCCTCTTTCAGTTCTTCTTCTTCTTCCCGCCGGTGGACTTTGCTCACCGCACATGTCCCTCCAGCTCTGGCGACCAGTGTCCTCTTCTTCTTCTCTTTGGCAATGGTGGCGGTGCTCTGTTCACCGCCCTCTCCTAGTCTTCTTCCCTCTTTCCTTCTCCTCCCACCGCCTAAATATGATTTCTTTTTCTTTAAATTTGAATATGATTTCTGCAACATTTAACCATTTATTTTTAATATTTTCTTTTTCTTTAGTATTTTTACAAGTTTGATGTTTTGCTTCAGTCTTTTAGTCCACCAAATTCGGCCAAGATACACAAATTGTTCATATGTGCTCCAACAAACGCTTACAATACTATCCCAACAAATCATTATAGTTGCAGTGTTGCACATCGGGCATATCTCCCCATGAACAAATCAAACATAACCTTAACATCTAAGAGTTACTAAGATGATGCCTTGGCAACGTTTGGATCTGTTGCTTGCAAGACTGTGTATAATGGACCGTGTAACCAATCATCAGTAACTATGCCAGTGATTTAGTGAATGCACAGGTACAAGCAGCAGACATGGACGAGATCATATCTCATATCTGCACCCCACAAATGGCGCCCCACATGCACATTTCAGCGTGTTTTGGAAATACCTCCTGAAGTTGTCGGTGGGAGATATGCTCCCAATACATGATTAAGATATACTGTGGGGTTAGGAACAGCAACGGGGCGGGGATGGGGAGCCTCGTCGCCGCTAATGGGGCCAAGCTTATTCCCATCCCCGTCCCCATGAGGATCCCCATTTCCTGTGATTTTTATAATGTTAATCATTTTGTTTTTGTTTTTTATTTTATTTAAAAAATAAAATAATTAAAATTTACAATTCTATTAGAAAAGATTCAAACATATTCAATCATATTTTTAAAAATATTAATATATAGATGTATGTGTACATATATACATATATAACGTATGCATACATATATACATATATACATATATATTAGTGGGAATCCCACGGATAGGGATTGGGCCCTGTCCCATCTCTGCTAATGGGGATGAAAATTTTTCCATCATCATCTCATTCGGGGCAGATCCCCATGGGGATCGGGGAAATGGAGAAAATTGCCATCCCTATTAGTAACAGTGCTGGAGGCATGGCTTGTGGGTTAACAGGACCGGATCTAGTAGGCACAACATAAGCACGTTAAATGAGCACTTGTTAAGTATTCTGGCAAATGTCAAAAGTGGGTTTTAATCTTTTTCAAGAGTGGGGTGTAGGTATTTTAAGGGACAGGTGTCAAAAAAATTTTCAAGTGCTCATTGGACGTGCTTACAATGTTGTGCCTACTTGATCGAACCGGTGGATTAACATGTTTCACGTGGAGAGAACCCAAAGTTTCTTCAGTCCCTTGTTTGTCTTTTTTTAATTAAAAGTATTGATTGCAATTACTCTTTTACCCACATGCTAACATATTATGCACATGAACTGATGAAGCTTTATCAGGTTATTTTATCCTAGCAACCAGGGTTTTTTTCGAGATAGGATTAGCCGAAGGCAATAACTGTTTAGGAGGCTATGAAACCAATTACAACACTCCACATCAGTCATAAAATACATATAGCCCACAATAATTCAATCTCTTAGTGTGAGTATCATGTATTTGATCACGGTATTTGGCATTATCATTGGTCATTTGGTCCTGCTATACAGTTGAGGTGTTTCATCGTTCAATGCTACGCCCCACGGAGCACACTGGTATTAGGCTTTATCACTGCTTTTTTTTTTCGTCCTTCTATGCTATGCCCCTAATTTTTATGCGCCACAAAAGAGAAAAGAAAAGATCTTTTGTTTTGAATTCACATAAAACCAGGTCTCGTAAAGGATCTTTCTGTCACAAGACTAACTTGCAACGTCTAATTAAACATGGACACAATCTCCATCTGACGATGGTGATTGCATAACCTCTTTTATCTCGAATTCAAAGCACTAGGATAGCCCATCCCCCTCGTGTATTGGGAACATCAACCATGAGGGATTGACTGTAATTAAGCGCACGTGCGGGGCATATTTTAGAAATTGCAACCATGCCCCACAGAGTACATCCCACTTGTGTATTGAGAACATCTCCTCATGACAAGTGTGGAAGATGTTCCCCATGTGAAGAACCCATCCCGTCTCAAGCACTAGGGAATGAGCAAAATTTCCTCAAACCAATACCCAGCAAAATCTTGCGATGTTCCAAACCCAATCTTTTTGTGATATCACAGTTCAAACGTCAAAGCAAAGCACTCCCATGACTCAAGTAGTAATGCAAGATTGAGTGCCTGTATAATCATAAATTGAGTCCAATAGTGTTATCCAATTCAGTAACTTTAAGTTCAACCATTTGATTTGTTACGAGCTGAGAGAATTGGGATTGCTTCAAGCAAGATTTACTTGGACTAAAACTTTAAAACCAATTTCGGTGGTGTTCACTTCATGATTCAAAAAAAAAAAAGGCCAGTTGTGTTCTAGAACCATACCACCTCTTTATAAAAATGAAAATATTGGTGTTAGGGGCACCTGAGTCTACTACCCAAGAAACATCAATGTTACCTCACCTAACACAAAAGGTTCAAGGTATCAATACACCCTGGTATGCATGGGCATGCGCATTGGGTGTTCCCATCACTTTCTCCTTTTTTTTTTTCAAATTTTACAGGGGTTAACCTAGCAAATTGTGTCCACTCCAAACAGTTAACCCCATCTAATTTAACTATTGTAATATGAGAATTTGTACTATCTGTCACACCACCAGCCCCTAATATAATCCACAAGCTGAGTCAATAGTACAAAAGTCAACCAAAAAACAATCAGCCACTGTCTGAAACTTATACTGAATAAAGCAGAGGGAAAATGGAGCAAATCCTAGTGTAAACACCAGTTCTTTTCTCCAAGAGTGAAACATCATCTCTGACCACTATTGATATCCTCTCTACATGTAAACACAACAACAATCACTCCAAAAGAAGTCTTAGACTAATTGTAGTTCCAATTCTGGGTTGCCTTGGCAAACCCCAAACAGGAACCTGGAGAAAAGGAAAACTTCCAGTTGCTCGCTCTAGGTATTGTCAAGCCACCCAAAATTGAGATTGATCACTAGAATAGATAAAAACATTCCAGAAAAACTCTAGATGCATCCCATCAGTGGGAAGTTGTATTTTGGTCATTTGGCCTATACATCTAGTCATCCTCTCATGTACACTACATCCTCCCCTTGTTTTGGTTTGAAATAAATGGAACTTCTTGATGCTTCAGCCTTGAACATTCATGCACACCATTCAGGCTTGTCAAGAAACTCAAAATCATCACATATGGGCCTACATTAATGCATGGCTATGAATCTATTTTTTGGGAAATTCTATATAGTTTATGCATACTCATAGTTATTTTCTTGCAGGTTCTCTGTTGTTTCCTCCTGTCAAGGTAGCCTTTGCATCTATAGGTATAGTGCTTTCTTCTCTTTTATTCCCTGTGATTCAATATACAACCTTTGCATCTATAGCCTTTGCATCTGTATCATACAATTGTCAATTTAATAGAGCCCTGAAGGCTTCAAATGGTTTATTGAAGATATAAGAAAACTGTTACTGATTTGTCAATCAGAATAAAAAATTAACTGTTACTGATTTCCCCTTTATTTTCCTCTTCCTTTCCCTCTTATCTCTCCCTCTCTAATTCTCTCCATGGAAATCAAGAACTGTTTTTTTATCAGCTATTGTTAGCTAGGCTAATCGGTAGTTGGCTTTAAAAAACAACTTTCCATAAAGACTCCAATCAGGAACCAAAGAAACACATGGTATGTTATCTCTGTGAATAAGCAATTCAAAGATTCCCAAAATCTAGAAATATGGTAATAAATATCCTGGATAACTCAAAATATCAGCATCGTCATCCACACCTTATCCCAACTATATGAGGTTGGCTACATGTGTCAAAATAAATATCCTGGATAACTCAAAAATATAGTTCTAGGAGTCTTGTGAAGAAACTCAAAATCATCACATATGGGGCCTACATTAATGCATGGTTACGAATCCTTTTTTTTTGGGAAATTCTATATAGTTTATGCATACTCATAGTCATTTTCTTGCAGGACATCATGATTTTGATGAGTTAACTTTGTTTCATTATGGGATATTCTATTTTGGTTGCATATGGTTTCACTAAGATCCTAGGTAATATTATAGGAAATTAGGTGTTTGAATGGGACTCCTACACAAGGGATCTAATTATCCATTTCCTTATAAACCTGAGACATCCTAATTCATGGAAAACCTGGTTAATTCATATTGTAAGTTTTCAAGACTGCTCTAGTCTTGATCACTAAGAAACTTCAGGTTCGAAGAGAAGAGAAAGTGAAGAAGAAAGAGAAGAAAGAGTAGTGAGAGAGTAGTAGAACACAGGCTTTGAGGAGAAGAACAAAATCTCAATGTTCTGCCGCCGCCACTTCAATTTAATATTTAAATGTTATGCTAGTTACATGAAAGAACACATCTGCCCTTGGTGT